AATCGATGCTGTTTTTGGAAATGGGACAGTCTCAGATTCTTGTTGCCACGACCTTGTTCAAGAAGGAAAAGTGTGTCACGATACACTCATCAAATATATTGCCGATAGACCCAGCCTAATTAGCAAAGAAACTCAGTATTTGAAGAAAAGAGATGATTTGTGGACTCAGTGTGTCTCAATCTCTAAATCAGCTTAAATGATGTATTGCTAATGTGATTATGACCTAATATATTGATATCACGTTTCTGTTACACTTTCCTTGCCGCAAAAATCCTTGTCTCTAATCTCCTGCATTACAAATCAAAGAAAATTTATCTACAAATTAATCTCTAAAATTTAAAGTTTACTACTCAAACGTTTTTCATAAAATTTACCCGCCAGGAGTGGACAAAAAGAATAAAAATGTTAAAAATTGATGTTTTAGATTTATGTTTGTGTTTGTTTTTTCTGTATCATCCAATCAAGTTTTCTTACTTTTGATTTTTCTAAACACAAAATATTGAATTTTGAAAATGAAAAGAAAACAGAGCGAATAATTATAAAAGATTTATGTTCATTCTTTTGTTAGAACAAAACTTTAATTAAAAACCTCATACATAAAGCTCAAATATGAAGTTATTAGTAGCCAAGAGTTATGCATTCTAAATTCCACTTGATAACTAAAACTTGGGAGGTTATGGCAAATAGAGGTAAGTTAGTCTACTATAGCCAACATCATCTTTGCATCGAACATTTGACCATTTATCCGTGGATCGATAACCTCACATTTATTAAGTGTTAAAACAATATCCTATGTTTGATTCAGTAGTTTGGATACCAAGAGTCTTTCCAAACGGTATTTGCGATATTTTTTCTGGAATTTTTACGTAATTAGTTTATCAGAACAGCCTTTTTGAAATGCTACTTAAAAAGTGCTTCAGAATAATGTTTTATTAAAAATTATATCGTTAGACATATCTCACTTTTGTGAAGATATATGGATGTGTTTACATTTTTCATATTATTTCAATATTTCCAAGTTTTATACAAATTTACATAAGAAATTTTAAACCGAAAGGCGGTAGATAAATCTGAATTTTTTTAAAACAAATTTGCATTAAAAATGTAAAACGTCATTTATAATAATAAAAAAATAAACACTACATCGACAGTTAATATGAAACATAATATTATAACGTTCATAGTATAACTAACAAAGAAAACATTTGCCATTAATTTAGGACCATAACCTGAAAATGAGTTTTAAAGTTACGTTGGGAATTCCAATCACTTATAAATAGCCTACACATCTTACTTTTGAAAATAGAAAACACTAAACACGTTTCACTGTATCCGTTTCATACACAAGAAAAATTCTATATTCGTTTGTAAAGCTTAAGCAAATATGGCTAAACTTAACTCTCAACTTACTACCCTATTCATTGTTGTAGCTTTGGTGTGCGCATTTGTTCCAGTTTTTTCGGTAGAAGAAGTTGAAGCAAAATCATTATGGGATACTTGTCTAGTTAAGATCACTCCTAAGTGTGCTTTGGATATAATCGATGCTGTTTTTGGAAATGGGACAGTCTCAGATTCTTGTTGCCACGACCTTGTTCAAGAAGGAAAAGTGTGTCACGATACACTCATCAAATATATTGCCGATAGACCCAGCCTAATTAGCAAAGAAACTCAGTATTTGAAGAAAAGAGATGATTTGTGGACTCAGTGTGTCTCAATCTCTAAATCAGCTTAAATGATGTATTGCTAATGTGATTATGACCTAATATATTGATATCTCGTTTCTGTTACACTTTCCTTGCCGCAAAAATCCTTGTCTCTAATCTCCTGCATTACAAATCAAAGAAAATTTATCTACAAATTAATCTCTAAAATTTAAAGTTCACTACTCAAACGTTTTTCATAAAATTTACCCGCCAGGAGTGGACAAAAAAAATTAAAATGTTAAAAATTGATGTTTTAGATTTATGTTTGTGTTTGTTTTTTCTGTATCATCCAATCAAGTTTTCTTACTTTTGAATTTTCTAAACACAAAATATTGAATTTTGAAAATGAAAAGAAAACAGAGCGAATAATTTTAAAAGATTTATTTTTATTCTTTTGTTAGAACAAAAATTTAATTAAAAACCTCATACATAAAGCTCAAATATGAAGTTAATAGTAGCCAAGAGTTATGCATTCTAAATTCCACTTGATAACTAAAACTTGGGAGGTTATGGCAAATAGAGGTAAGTTAGTCTGCTATAGCCAACATCTTTGCATCGAACATTTGACCATTTATCCGTGGATCGATAACCTCACATTTATTAAGTGTTAAAACAATATCCTATGTTTGATTCAGTAGTTTGGATACCAAGAGTCTTTCCAAACGGTATTTGCGATATTTTTTCTGGAATTTTTACGTAATTAGTTTATCAGAACAGCCTTTTTGAAATGCTACTTAAAAAGTGCTTCAGAATAATGTTTTATTAAAAATTATATCGTTAGACATATCTCACTTTTGTGAAGATATATGGATGTGTTTACATTTTTCATATTATTTCAATATTTCCAAGTTTTATACAAATTTACATAAGAAATTTTAAACCGAAAGGCGGTAGATAAATCTGAATTTTTTTAAAACAAATTTGCATTAAAAATGTAAAACGTCATTTATAATAATAAAAAAATAAACACTGCATCGACAGTTAATATGAAATATAATATTATAACGTTCATAGTATAACTAACAAAGAAAACATTTGCCATTAGTTTAGGACCATAACCTGAAAATGAGTTTTAAAGTTACGTTGGGAATTCCAATCACTTATAAATAGCCTACACATCTTACTTTTGAAAATAGAAAACACTAAACACGTTTCACTGTATCCGTTTCATACACAAGAAAAATTCTATATTCGTTTGTAAAGCTTCAGCAAATATGGTTAAACTTAACTCTCAACTTACTACCCTATTCATTGTTGTAGCTTTGGTGTGCGCATTTGTTCCAGTTTTTTAGGTAGAAGAAGTTGAAGCAAAATCATTATGGGATACTTGTCTAGTTAAGATCACTCCTAAGTGTGCTTTGGATATAATCGATGCTGTTTGTAACATCCATAAACCAAAAATAAAAATTGGGAATTTTGTCGGTTCAATTTAAGTGAATTGGTTTGGGTCGGTTTAGTGGAGAAAGCCCTAAAATCAAGTTTAAAGAGTGCAGCCGTCTTCTCTTTGGAGAATTTTCGAGTTCAGATGCTGTAGAGGAGAAAAGTTGAGTTTTTGGAGAGATTTTCGAATTTTACTGTTCATCGGCACTGTTCATCTGTTCAGGTTACTGTTCATCGTACTGTTCAGGGTTACTGTTCATCTGTACGGGTACTGTTCATCCGCGATTCGGCACTGTTCATCGTCCTTCCTTTTTCCTTCAGTTTCAATATTGTCAAGGTGAGTGCATGACTGTGGGTCCGTGATTTGCTAGATTAGATTTGGTTTGTGGTTGTTCTTGATGAGTTTATGTTTTAATTGTTATTTTTATGATATTTTGGTTGTTTATGTGATGAATTGTGTGTTTGTGTGGTTTAATCTGGTTTAATTGAATTTAATTGATTTAATTGGTTTATCTTGGTTCAATTGATTTGATTCTGGTTATTTGGTTAATTGAATTTAATTGGTTTTAATTAAATATTTATTCGGATTTAATTAATTAAATAATTTAATTAATTAATTGGTTTAAAATAATTATTTTAATTATTTTAAAATATGGAAAATTATTATTTAATTATGAGAATTATTTAATAATTGAGAAATTGAGTTTTAATTATTAAAAATTATTTAATAATTGGAAAATGGTATTTAATAATTATTGGAGTTTATAAATATTATTAAATATCTAGTAAATTGCGTAAATGGCTCGTAGGCAGAGTGATTGCCTCACTAAGTATTTATTAAATACTTACGCAACTCCATTCCAATGTGTTGCAGGTAAAAGATTTGTGTGATCGCGGAATCAAGGCTGAAGAGGGGGATGATAGGATGTTTACTGTTTTATTGTTTTGCATTATTTTGCTAGACTTGTTTAATTATTATTTGCTTCCGCTGAGCTGATTTATTTGTTATTGATATTTTATTTATTTAATTTATTTTAAGACCTTCGCTAGAATTGATTAATATTTAAAAAAAAAAAAAATGTTGGTTGTTTCATTTTGGTATCAGAGCCTAGACGGTTTTAGGACTGTTAGAATTGCTAGGCTTAGTATCATCCCCTTCAGCTACAAGAGATTCCGCGGTGAGTTTATGTTTGTTTTGAGTTTTGGTTGCGTGTTCTAGTGTGCTCTTTTCGGTTCCATGAGTGAGATGGACTGAGTAGCTAGAGGTTGTGGCGCGAGAGGGCGCGGTGCTCGAGGCCGTGGTGGCAGAGCGAGAGGCCGGGGCCGAGATTGTGGACTTCGGCGGATTCGGGAGAGAGTGTGGTGCCTAGTGTGGCGACTGCGTCGGTGACCCAGTCGGTATCCGTGGCGAGTGAGGCCAGTGTGGATGCGAGTGTTGGTTTGGGAGCGGGGGCTGCTCCGGGTTGGGGTGGTGCTCCGGCTCAGGGTCTTGATGACTTAGTGGTGGGTTTGCTGACGCAGTTATTGGCTCGTTTTCCGCCAGTGGTTCCACAGGGGGCTCCGGGAGTACCTCCAGTGGCAGAGGTGCAGCAGAGGGCTGCGGGTTTGTTCAGCCGCAGGCTGTGGGTTTGATGGTGCCGCCTATTTGGATATGATGGGGCACATGCAGAGGATTGGTACGCCGTACTTTAGGGCGGAGTTAGCCCAGAGGCGGCAGATTAGTGGCGTTAGAGATTGGAGCGGAATTTCCAGTCTATCAGATGTTTGTTTAGTACCAGGTTGAGTTGGCAGTCCACTATCTGAGTGGAGATGCACATTTGTGGTGGCGGGTCATCGAGGGCATAATGGTTGTTGTTGTTGTGTGTTGTTCATTTATCTGTGATAAAATTGTTGAGGTTCTCAGCAATGTGTTTCGTAATGACCTTGTTAGTGGGCGGTTTTGAGTCCCACGTTTTATTCGACTCTGGAGCATCGAATTGCTTCATTACACCGGAGCGTGCCGAGAAGAGTGGCATCCGGAGTAGCGCGGGCGAGAGCGCGGGCATGGTCAAGGTGGCGGGAGGTGGATTCTTGTCTACTTTGGGCCGTGCTAGAGGAGTCGAGATCGAGATTGCGGGGCAGTCAATGCCAGCAGACTTAGTCATCAGTCCGGTGGAGCTGTATGACGTTATTCTCGGGATGGACTGGTTGTCACACTACAGAGTTCATCTGGATTGCTACAGAGGTAGAGTGGTCTTCGAGCGAGATGCAGGGAGGTTGGTTTATCAGGGAGTGAGACCGACTTCCGGGAGTATTGTGATATCTGCTATTCAGGCCGAGCAGTTGTTAGAGCGGGGCTGTGAGGCGTATCTGGCGACGATTTCTATGTCTGAGTCAGGAGCTGGAGTTGTTATGGGAGATATTGAGGTTGTCCAGGATTTTGAGGATGTCTTTCAGTCACTGAAGGGATTACCACCATCTCGGTCTGATCCTTTCACGATTGAGTTAGAGCCGGGGACAGCACCGATATCGAAGACGCCTTACAGGATGGCGCCAGCTGAGTTGGCAGAGCTGAAGAAGCAGATAGAGGACCTTTTGTCTAAGGGGTTCATTCGACCGAGTGTTTCACCGTGGGGAGCACCGGTGTTGTTTGTGAAGAAGAAGGATGGAGTTTCAGACTTTGTATCGATTACAGAGGTCTTAACCGAGTCACTGTGAAGAACAGGTACCCACTCCCGAGGATTGATGAGTTGTTGGATCAGTTGAGGGGTGCTACTTGGTTCTCCAAGATTGACTTGGCATCGGGGTATCATCAGATCCCGATAGATGAGGCAGATGTCAGGAAGACTGCTTTCAGGACGCGTTATGGGCATTTTGAGTTTGTGGTTATGCCTTTCGGTTTGACTAACGCGCCGGCAGCCTTCATGAGATTGATGAACGACGTGTTCAGGGAGTATTTGGACGTGTTCGTCATCATTTTCATTGATGATATTCTGGTATACTCGAGGAGTCAGGAGGAGCATGCGACTCACTTGAGGTTGGTTCTGGAGAAGCTTCGGGAGCAGAAGCTTTTTGCTAAGTTGAGCAAGTGCAGTTTCTGGCAGCGAGAGATGGGATTTCTTGGCCACATTGTTTCTGCAGAGGGAGTTTCTGTGGATCCGGCTAAGATTGAGGCTATCAGAGATTGGCCTAGACCTAGTAGTGCCACCGAGATCAGGAGTTTTCTGGGTTTGGCAGGATACTACAGGAGGTTCGTCAAGGGGTTTGCTACCATGGCGCAGCCGATGACGAAGTTGACCGGGAAGGATGTCCCTTTTATTTGGTCAGCTGAGTGTGAGGAGAGCTTTAGTCAGCTCAAGGAGATGTTGACTACTACACCAGTGTTGGCGTTACCCGAGCCAGGGAAGCCTTACATGGTGTATACAGATGCTTCAGGCATTGGTCTTGGTTGTGTGCTGATGCAGGAGGGCAGAGTGATAGCATATGCTTCGAGACAGTGGCAGGGCAGTGAGCGTAACCGTCCTACACATGACTTAGAGTTGGGAGCAGTGATCTTCGCGTTGAAGATTTGGAGGTCTTACTTGCTAGGTGAGACAGTACAGGTCTTCACGGATCACAAGAGTTTGCAGCATATCTTCACTCAGCCGATGATGAACGCGAGACAGACGCGCTGGGTTGAGTTCTTGGCGGACTATCAGGTGAGCATTAACTACCATCCGGGCAAGGCTAACCTAGTGGCGGACGCGTTGAGTAGACGGAGGTATGATTCCGCAGTTGAGCGAGATGTGGAGTCTCTAGTTGGCGAGATCAGTACCTTGCGTTTGTGTGCCATTTCGCAGGAGCCTTTGGGTTTAGAGGCAGTGGATCAGGCGGATCTACTTAGCAGGATCAGAGTTGCTCAGCAGAGTGATCAGAGTTTGCTGGATGCGACGAGAGTGACTGGTTCTGAGTATGAGGTCTCTGCGAATGGGACTATCTTGGTTCGTGGGCGAGTTTGTGTGCCTAAGGATGTGGAGTTGAGACATCAGATTTTGGGAGAGGCTCACGCGAGCAAGTTTTCCATTCATCCGGGAGCGACCAAGATGTACCATGACCTCAAGAGGTACTATCATTGGGTCGGGATGAAGAGGGATGTAGCAGACTGGGTTGCGAAGTGCAACACTTGTGCCTTGGTGAAGGCAGAGCATCAGGTTCCGGGTGGTCTTTTGCAGAGTTTACCCATTCCAGAGTGGAAGTGGGACAGGATTACGATGGATTTCGTGGTTGGACTACCTGTTTCGAGGACTTTCGATGCTATCTGGGTGATTGTGGATCGGTTGACTAAGTCTGCACATTTCTTGGCCATCAAGAAGACAGATGGAGCTGCTGTCTTGGCTAGGAAGTTTGTGCGAGAGATTGTGAGGCTGCATGGAGTGCCAGCTAGTATTGTGTCAGACCGTGATCCCAGATTCACTTCAGAGTTTTGGAGGGCGTTTCAGGCAGAGATGGGCACTAAGGTGCATCTGAGTACAGCTTATCATCCGCAGACAGATGGTCAGTCAGAGAGGACTATTCAGACTTTGGAGGATTTGCTGAGGATGTGTGTGTTGGATTGGGGTGGCCATTGGGCAGATCACCTGAGCTTAGTTGAGTATTGGCATGGCTCCATTTGAGGCTTTGTATGGGAGGCCATGTAGGACACCCCTATGCTGGACCCAAGTGGGGGAGCGCAGCATGTATGGAGCTACTTATGTTCAGGAGACGACAGAGAAGGTTCGTGTTGTGAGGCTGAACATGAAGGAGGCTCAGGATAGGCAGAAGAGTTATGCAGATAGACGCAGACGAGAGCTTGAGTTTCAGGTGGAGATAGAGTTTATCTCAAGATGGCTATGTTGAGGGGTCCTAACAGATCCATAGCAGAGAACAAGCTGAGTCCGCGTTTTATGGGTCCGTTTCCAGTAGTGGAGCGAGTTGGGCCATTGGCTTACAGGCTGGAGTTGCCTGAGATTATGAAAGCCTTTCACAAGGTTTTTCATGTGTCGATGCTGAGGAAGTGTCTTCACCCTACAGAGGAGTTAGTGGCTAGGATTCCAGAGGATCTTCAGCCAGATTTGACAGTGCCGGCAGTGCCTGTGAGGATTTTAGAGAGGAGGGAAAAGGTTCTGAGGAACAAGAGGATTCCCTTACTGAGGATTTTGTGGGATTGCAGTGGTTCTACAGAGGAGACTTGGGAGCCAGAGGCAAAGATGAAGTTGAAGTTCAGGAAGTGGTTCGACAAGCAGGTCGAGGAGTGAGCTTATTTCATCTTTGTAGCCTCAGTTGTTATTTTTGGCTTTGGTGTTATTGTATTTTCGTTTTCGTTGTAACGATATACATTTTGGAGTTTTAATGAGATGCAGTTTTTCCTCATTTTGCCTTGTGTTGTGAAATGGTATTCGGATGTTACACATGTTTGACCAGTTTTTGGTTGTGAGACGGTCTAATCTTATGGTTATAGACATTTTCCGGAATTTTTACTCTAAGGATTGCGATCCTGAATAACTCATCATGTTTTTGGAGACTTCGTTCTCTGGCAGACTCTCTGGGTGCAAGTAGGCCTCAGTTGAGTGTAGCTTATCTGGGTGCAAGTAGGCCTCAGTATAAGCAGTTTAGTTCATCTGGGTGCAAGTGGGCCTCAGTATGGACGTTTTCGGGTTCGTCTGGGTGCAAGTGGGCCTCAGTGCGGACCGGTGTGGACTTGTCTGGGTGCAAGTGGGCCTCAGTACAAGTTGTTTGGTGTGTTTGGATGATGAGTTAGGAGTGAAATTTTCTTGGAACGTGTTTATGACATAAGATATGACGTTTGTCTCGGGGATCAAGTGAGGATCTCCGGTGTTGCGGCCTTGCGAGGTTGGGTTTTGTGGTCTTTGTGACGTTTGCGTTGGGATTCGAGGACGAATCCAGTTTAGTGGGGAAGAGTTGTAACATCCATAAACCAAAAATAAAAATTGGGAATTTTGTCGGTTCAATTTAAGTGAATTGGTTTGGGTCGGTTTAGTGGAGAAAGCCCTAAAATCAAGTTTAAAGAGTGCAGCCGTCTTCTCTTTGGAGAATTTTCGAGTTCAGATGCTGTAGAGGAGAAAAGTTGAGTTTTTGGAGAGATTTTCGAATTTTACTGTTCATCGGTACTGTTCACGGGTTACTGTTCATCGGTACTGTTCACGGGTTACTGTTCATGGTACGTTCACGGGTTACTGTTCATCCGCGATTCGGCACTGTTCATCGTCTTCCTTTTTCCTTCAGTTTCAATCATTGTCAAGGTGAGTGCATGACTGTGGGTCCGCGATTTGCTAGATTAGATTTGGTTTGTGGTTGTTCTTGATGAGTTTATGTGTTTAATTGTTATTTCATGATATTTTGGTTGTTTATGTGATGAATTGTGTGTTTGTGTGGTTTAATCTGGTTTAATTGAATTTAATTGATTTAATTGGTTTATCTTGGTTCAATTGAATTTAATTGGTTATTTGGTTAATTGAATTTAATTGGTTTTAATTAAATATTTATTTTCGGATTTAATTAATTAAATAATTTAATTTAATTAATTGGTTTAAAATAATTATTTTAATTATTTTAAAATATGGAAAATTATTATTTAATTATGAGAATTATTTAATAATTGAGAAATTGAGTTTTAATTATTAAAATTATTTAATAATTGGAAAATGGTATTTAATAATTATTGGAGTTTATAAATATTATTAAATATCTAGTAAATTGCGTAAATGGCTCGTAGGCAGAGTGATTGCCTCACTAAGTATTTATTAAATACTTACGCAACTCCATTCCAATGTGTTGCAGGTAAAAGATTTGTGTGATCGCGGAATCAAGGCTGAAGAGGGGGATGATAGGATGTTTACTGTTTTATTGTTTTGCATTATTTTGCTAGACTTGTTTAATTATTATTTGCTTCCGCTGAGCTGATTTATTTGTTATTGATATTTTATTTATTTAATTTATTTTTAAGACCTTCGCTAGAATTGATTAATATTTAAAAAAAAAAAAATGTTGGTTGTTTCACTGATTTTGGAAATGGGACAGTCTCAGATTCTTGTTGACCTTGTTCAAGAAGGAAAAGTGTGTCACGATACACTCATCAAATATATTGCCGATAGACCCAGCCTAATTAGCAAAGAAACTCAGTATTTGAAGAAAAGAGATGATTTGTGGACTCAGTGTGTCTCAATCTCTAAATCAGCTTAAATGATGTATTGCTAATGTGATTATGACCTAATATATTGATATCTCGTTTCTGTTACACTTTCCTGCCGCAAAAATCCTTGTCTCTAATCTCCTGCATTACAAATCAAAGAAAATTTATCTACAAATTAATCTCTAAAATTTAAAGTTCACTACTCAAACGTTTTTCATAAAATTTACCCGCCAGGAGTGGACAAAAAGAATGTTAAAATGTTTTAGATTTATGTTTGTGTTTGTTTTTTCTGTATCATCCAATCAAGTTTTCTTACTTTTGAATTTTCTAAACACAAAATATTGAATTTTGAAAATGAAAAGAAAACAGAGCGAATAATTTTAAAAGATTTATTTTTATTCTTTTGTTAGAACAAAACTTTAATTAAAAACCTCATACATAAAGCTCAAATATGAAGTTAATAGTAGCCAAGAGTTATGCATTCTAAATTCCACTTGATAACTAAAACTTGGGAGGTTATGGCAAATAGAGGTAAGTTAGTATGCTATAGCCAACATCTTTGCATCGAACATTTGATCATTTATCCGTGGATAGATAACCTCACATGATTAAGTGTTAAAACAATATCCTATGTTTGATTCAGTAGTTTGGATACCAAGAGTCTTTCCAAACGGTATTTGCGATATTTTTTCTGGAATTTTTACGTAATTAGTTTATCAGAACAGCCTTTTTGAAATGCTACTTAAAAAGTGCTTCAGAATAATGTTTTATTAAAAATTATATCGTTAGACATATCTCACTTTTGTGAAGATATATGGATGTGTTTACATTTTTCATATTATTTCAATATTTCCAAGTTTTATACAAATTTACATAAGAAATTTTAAACCGAAAGGCGGTAGATAAATCTGAATTTTTTTAAAACAAATTTGCATTAAAAATGTAAAACGTCATTTATAATAATAAAAAAATAAACACTACATCGACAGTTAATATGAAACATAATATTATAACGTTCATAGTATAACTAACAAAGAAAACATTTGCCATTAATTTAGGACCATAACCTGAAAATGAGTTTTAAAGTTACGTTGGGAATTCCAATCACTTATAAATAGCCTACACATCTTACTTTTGAAAATAGAAAACACTAAACACGTTTCACTGTATCCGTTTCATACACAAGAAAAATTCTATATTCGTTTGTAAAGCTTAAGCAAATATGGCTAAACTTAACTCTCAACTTACTACCCTATTCATTGTTGTAGCTTTGGTGTGCGCATTTGTTCCAGTTTTTTCGGTAGAAGAAGTTGAAGCAAAATCATTATGGGATACTTGTCTAGTTAAGATCACTCCTAAGTGTGCTTTGGATATAATCGATGCTGTTTTTGGAAATGGGACAGTCTCAGATTCTTGTTGCCACGACCTTGTTCAAGAAGGAAAAGTGTGTCACGATACACTCATCAAATATATTGCCGATAGACCCAGCCTAATTAGCAAAGAAACTCAGTATTTGAAGAAAAGAGATGATTTGTGGACTCAGTGTGTCTCAATCTCTAAATCAGCTTAAATGATGTATTGCTAATGTGATTATGACCTAATATATTGATATCTCGTTTCTGTTACACTTTCCTTGCCGCAAAAATCCTTGTCTCTAATCTCTTGCATTACAAATCAAAGAAAATTTATCTACAAATTAATCTCTAAAATTTAAAGTTCACTACTCAAACGTTTTTCATAAAATTTACCCGCCAGGAGTGGACAAAAAGAATGTTAAAAATTGATGTTTTAGATTTATGTTTGTGTTTGTTTTTTCTGTATCATCCAATCAAGTTTTCTTACTTTTGAATTTTCTAAACACAAAATATTGAATTTTGAAAATGAAAAGAAAACAGAGCGAATAATTATAAAAGATTTATGTTCATTCTTTTGTTAGAACAAAACTTTAATTAAAAACCTCATACATAAAGCTCAAATATGAAGTTATTAGTAGCCAAGAGTTATGCATTCTAAATTCCACTTGATAACTAAAACTTGGGAGGTTATGGCAAATAGAGGTAAGTTAGTCTGCTATAGCCAACATCTTTGCATCGAACATTTGACCATTTATCCGTGGATCGATAACCTCACATTTATTAAGTGTTAAAACAATATCCTATGTTTGATTCAGTAGTTTGGATACCAAGAGTCTTTCCAAACGGTATTTGCGATATTTTTTCTGGAATTTTTACGTAATTAGTTTATCAGAACAGCCTTTTTGAAATGCTACTTAAAAAGTGCTTCAGAATAATGTTTTATTAAAAATTATATCGTTAGACATATCTCACTTTTGTGAAGATATATGGATGTGTTTACATTTTTCATATTATTTCAATATTTCCAAGTTTTATACAAATTTACATAAGAAATTTTAAACCGAAAGGCGGTAGATAAATCTGAATTTTTTTAAAACAAATTTGCATTAAAAATGTAAAACGTCATTTATAATAATAAAAAAATAAACACTACATCGACAGTTAATATGAAACATAATATTATAACGTTCATAGTATAACTAACAAAGAAAACATTTGCCATTAATTTAGGACCATAACCTGAAAATGAGTTTTAAAGTTACGTTGGGAATTCCAATCACTTATAAATAGCCTACACATCTTACTTTTGAAAATAGAAAACACTAAACACGTTTCACTGTATCCGTTTCATACACAAGAAAAATTCTATATTCGTTTGTAAAGCTTAAGCAAATATGGCTAAACTTAACTCTCAACTTACTACCCTATTCATTGTTGTAGCTTTGGTGTGCGCATTTGTTCCAGTTTTTTCGGTAGAAGAAGTTGAAGCAAAATCATTATGGGATACTTGTCTAGTTAAGATCACTCCTAAGTGTGCTTTGGATATAATCGATGCTGTTTTTGGAAATGGGACAGTCTCAGATTCTTGTTGCCACGACCTTGTTCAAGAAGGAAAAGTGTGTCACGATACACTCATCAAATATATTGCCGATAGACCCAGCCTAATTAGCAAAGAAACTCAGTATTTGAAGAAAAGAGATGATTTGTGGACTCAGTGTGTCTCAATCTCTAAATCAGCTTAAATGATGTATTGCTAATGTGATTATGACCTAATATATTGATATCACGTTTCTGTTACACTTTCCTTGCCGCAAAAATCCTTGTCTCTAATCTCCTGCATTACAAATCAAAGAAAATTTATCTACAAATTAATCTCTAAAATTTAAAGTTTACTACTCAAACGTTTTTCATAAAATTTACCCGCCAGGAGTGGACAAAAAGAATAAAAATGTTAAAAATTGATGTTTTAGATTTATGTTTGTGTTTGTTTTTTCTGTATCATCCAATCAAGTTTTCTTACTTTTGATTTTTCTAAACACAAAATATTGAATTTTGAAAATGAAAAGAAAACAGAGCGAATAATTATAAAAGATTTATGTTCATTCTTTTGTTAGAACAAAACTTTAATTAAAAACCTCATACATAAAGCTCAAATATGAAGTTATTAGTAGCCAAGAGTTATGTCTAAATTCCACTTGATAACTAAAACTTGGGAGGTTATGGCAAATAGAGGTAAGTTAGTCTACTATAGCCAACATCTTTGCATCGAACATTTGATCATTTATCCGTGGATCGATAACCTCACATGTATTAAGTGTTAAAACAATATCCTATGTTTGATTCAGTAGTTTGGATACCAAGAGTCTTTCCAAACGGTATTTGCGATATTTTTTCTGGAATTTTTACGTAATTAGTTTATCAGAACAGCCTTTTTGAAATGCTACTTAAAAAGTGCTTCAGAATAATGTTTTATTAAAAATTATATCGTTAGACATATCTCACTTTTGTGAAGATATATGGATGTGTTTACATTTTTCATATTATTTCAATATTTCCAAGTTTTATACAAATTTACATAAGAAATTTTAAACCGAAAGGCGGTAGATAAATCTGAATTTTTTTAAAACAAATTTGCATTAAAAATGTAAAACGTCATTTATAATAATAAAAAAATAAACACTACATCGACAGTTAATATGAAACATAATATTATAACGTTCATAGTATAACTAACAAAGAAAACATTTGCCATTAATTTAGGACCATAACCTGAAAATGAGTTTTAAAGTTACGTTGGGAATTCCAATCACTTATAAATAGCCTACACATCTTACTTTTGAAAATAGAAAACACTAAACACGTTTCACTGTATCCGTTTCATACACAAGAAAAATTCTATATTCGTTTGTAAAGCTTAAGCAAATATGGCTAAACTTAACTCTCAACTTACTACCCTATTCATTGTTGTAGCTTTGGTGTGCGCATTTGTTCCAGTTTTTTCGGTAGAAGAAGTTGAAGCAAAATCATTATGGGATACTTGTCTAGTTAAGATCACTCCTAAGTGTGCTTTGGATATAATCGATGCTGTTTTTGGAAATGGGACAGTCTCAGATTCTTGTTGCCACGACCTTGTTCAAGAAGGAAAAGTGTGTCACGATACACTCATCAAATATATTGCCGATAGACCCAGCCTAATTAGCAAAGAAACTCAGTATTTGAAGAAAAGAGATGATTTGTGGACTCAGTGTGTCTCAATCTCTAAATCAGCTTAAATGATGTATTGCTAATGTGATTATGACCTAATATATTGATATCACGTTTCTGTTACACTTTCCTTGCCGCAAAAATCCTTGTCTCTAATCTCCTGCATTACAAATCAAAGAAAATTTATCTACAAATTAATCTCTAAAATTTAAAGTTTACTACTCAAACGTTTTTCATAAAATTTACCCGCCAGGAGTGGACAAAAAGAATAAAAATGTTAAAAATTGATGTTTTAGATTTATGTTTGTGTTTGTTTTTTCTGTATCATCCAATCAAGTTTTCTTACTTTTGATTTTTCTAAACACAAAATATTGAATTTTGAAAATGAAAAGAAAACAGAGCGAATAATTATAAAAGATTTATGTTCATTCTTTTGTTAGAACAAAACTTTAATTAAAAACCTCATACATAAAGCTCAAATATGAAGTTATTAGTAGCCAAGAGTTATGTATTCTAAATTCCACTTGATAACTAAAACTTGGGAGGTTATGGCAAATAGAGGTAAGTTAGTCTACTATAGCCAACATCTAAAAATCAGCTTAACTGATGAATTGCTAATGTGATTATGACCTAATATATTGATATGTTTCTGTTACACTTTCCTTGCCGCAAAAATCCTTGTCTCTAATCTCCTGCATTACAAATCAAAGATAATTTATCTACAAATTAATCTCTAAAATTTAAAGTTTAGTACTCAAACGTTTTTCATAAAATTTACCCGCCAGGAGTGGACAAAAAGAATAAAAATGTTAAAAATTGATGTTTTAGATTTATGTTTGTGTTTGTTTTTTCTGCATCATCTGAAAATGAAAAGAAAACAGAGCGAATAATTATAAAAGATTTATGTTCATTCTTTTGTTAGAACAAAACTTTAATTAAAAACCTCATACATAAAGCTCAATTATGAAGTTATTAGTAGCCAAGAGTTATGTATTGTAAATTCCACTTGATAACTAAAACTTGGGAGGTTATGGCAAATAGAGGTAAGTTAGTCTACTATAGCCAACATCTTTGCATCGAACATTTGATCATTTATCCGTGGATCGATAACCACACATTTATTAAGTGTTAAAACAATATCCTATGTGTAACATCCCGGTTTGTGATAAATGAGGAGAGGCTTAAGAGAATTGATTTGGCTACCTATGTCAACAAAGTGCACTTACCTTTTCGGTCAAAGGTCTATAAGTAACTCCAGTTAAGCGTGCTTGTGCTGGAGTAGTTGAAGGATGGGTGACCTTTCGGGAAGTGGTTTCCGAAACCGTGTGAGTGAGGCCAAAACACGGGGAAAGGTCAGGTGTTGATTGCAGGGATAGTAAACAAGTCATTAGAGCCTCTCGAAAATAACGGACCGGCCGTCGGACAGGGGTGAGGCCCACGGGCCGAGATGGGCCTGCGGGCCCAGAGAGAGGGCGTGGGTGACTCACCGGGAGGGGCGGTCGGGGCGTTATAATTTGGTATCAGAGCCAAACCCAGACGAGAGTGTGGAGTCAAGTTGAAGTGGCCTTGACTCACACCGTCAGGGGGTGACGATCCAGGTGCGCAACGAGGACGTTGCGCATAGTGAGTGGGGGTGAGTTGTAACATCCCGGTTTGTGATAAATGAGGAGAGGCTTAAGAGAATTGATTTGGCTACCTATGTCAACAAAGTGCACTTACCTTTTCGGTCAAAGGTCTATAAGTAACTCCAGTTAAGCGTGCTTGTGCTGGAGTAGTTGAAGGATGGGTGACCTTTCGGGAAGTGGTTTCCGAAACCGTGTGAGTGAGGCCAAAACACGGGGAAAGGTCAGGTGTTGATTGCAGGGATAGTAAACAAGTCATTAGAGCCTCTCGAAAATAACGGACCGGCCGTCGGACAGGGGTGAGGCCCACGGGCCGAGATGGGCCTGCGGGCCCAGAGAGAGGGCGTGGGTGACTCACCGGGAGGGGCGGTCGGGGCGTTATAGAATCACTGAATCTTCTTTTACTAAAGTTGTATACATATTGCTATTTGAATGTTTACTGTACTGTTAATTATATATGCATCTTGATAGAATCATTAACGTTAGTGATTAAGCCAAAGCGCAAGTCAAAGTTCAACTTTTCTGGTCCTTGTGTTCGATAACTCATACTACCAACGATCCGTGCACTTGCGGTATCTACTAATAGTTGGGTAAAACTTACCCCACATCAAGTTTTTGGCGCCGTTGCCGGGGACCAAATAGTTGCGTAAGAGTTTCGGATTAGAGTTTAGACTAGAACATTGTTTAATTTCATTTTTATTTGCATTTCCCTTTGGATTTTTGTTCTTATTTTTACTAACTTCTTTACTTCTCTCTATCTTTGTGTGTTTCAAGGTACCTTGATTAAGAGATAGGAGATCTTGAAGAAGGATTCACGAGACATACAAGATGGAGCCTCAAAACCGCCCAATCGGAGATTTTGATTCACTAGACATCTTCTTCACAAAACGCCCACCTATATGCCCTTTACCACCTAATGTAGAGTTCAAGATAAGCTCTAAACTCATTGCTTTGGTGGAGCAGCATCAGTTTCGTGGCCTAGAGGAAGAGCAGCCCATTGATCATATTGAGAAGTTTGAAGAAATCTGCGCTACAAGGAGATATAGTGGAGTTTCTGAGGATTACTTGAAGTGTACTCTATTCTCTTTCTCCCTGATTGAGAAGGCATACAAATGGATGATAATCGATGCTGTTTTTGGAAATGGGACAGTCTCAGATTCTTGTTGCCACGACCTTGTTCAAGAAGGAAAAGTGTGTCACGATACACTCATCAAATATATTGCCGATAGACCCAGCCTAATTAGCAAAGAAACTCAGTATTTGAAGAAAAGAGATGATTTGTGGACTCAGTGTGTCTCAATCTCTAAATCAGCTTAAATGATGAATTGCTAATGTGATTATGACCTAATATATTGATATGTTTCTGTTACACTTTCCTTGCCGCAAAATTCCTTGTCTCTAATCTCCTGCATTACAAATCAAAGATAATTTATCTACAAATTAATCTCTAAAATTTAAAGTTTAGTACTCAAACGTTTTTCATAAAATTTACCCGCCAGGAGTGGACAAAAAGAATAAAAATGTTAAAAATTGATGTTTTAGATTTATGTTTGTGTTTGTTTTTTCTGCATCATCCAATCAAGTTTCTTACTTTTGATTTTTCTAAACACAAAATATTGAATTTTGAAAATGAAAAGAAAACAGAGCGAATAATTATAAAAGATTTATGTTCATTCTTTTGTAAGAACCAAACTTTAATTAAAAACCTCATACAGAAAACTCAAATATGAAGTTATTAGTAGCCAAGAGTTATGTATTCTAAATTCCACTTGATAACTATTGGGAATTCCTATCACTTATAAATAGCCTACACAACTTACTTTTGAAAATAAAAAATAGAAAACCCTTTTCACTTTATCCGTTTCATACACAAGAAAAATTATATATTAGTTTGTAAAGCTTAAGGAAATATGGCTAAACTTAGCTCTCAACTTACTACCCTATTCATTGTTGTAGCTTTGGTGTGCGCATTTGTTCCAGTTTTTTCGGTAGAAGAAGTTGAAGCAAAATCAGTCACTACAAGAAAACAGCCATTTAGACACTCCATTTTGCGACTACACCTGCAGTCGCTAAATTGGGCCACTAACTTGCTACTAATTAGAGACTTAGTTACTACCACGGAACATTAGTCGCACATTTGTCACAATTTGGCTACTATATACTGTCGTCATTCTATAGTTGCACTTTTGCAACAATATTGCGTCAAATGGACGACTAAAAGAAAAAGCCCCAAAACAGTAGCTCATGTACCACCATTTTGCGACAACTATGTCAGTCACATATATGGAGTCGCAAAACCGTAGCAACATTTGCAATGTTTTGGTGACTTGTATTTTAATTTTATTTATATTTCGCAGATAGTTATTCCCTTTACACATATGATGCGCAAAATATGAACAAACGTTGCGTTTGTGGTTTAGGGTATGAATTATTCATGATTTGGCAAATAATAAATTCTTAGAGTTGCAAATTCGTAGCAACATAGTCCCAAAGAAGTGTTACTTTGTCACTACTTTGCAACTACATTTTTGGATCTTTCATTTTTACAAAACTCTTTTATTTCACATTTCAAATTGAAGATCCCTGGTAAAGAAGTGAGATATAATGAGTAAAACCAGAACAATATCATCAGTTTATAATATGTATCAAACATGGTTTATGTTTTGGTCTAACATTTGAAGATAAACCATTTGATTTGGTAATCAACTTATTGGAACATTCTACAAATATAAATAAAATGTCTATAAACTATTGATATTTAATTAATAATAATTGGATTTACACATATGATATGCAATAATGAAGTAGCATAACTTTTAGGGTTTAGGGTATGAATCAGTTAATATTTTGCAAACAAAAAGTTATTGTAGTCGCAAATGAGAAGCACAGTCTGCGACTGAATAGCTTCACTTTTTGAACATTGATCGCAAAAATGTCACAATGGAGTGTCACTGTGCCACTAATTTGCGACTGCAATTTTTTCAATCTTTCATTTTTACAAATCTTTCAGTTTAAGTGACTTGTATTATAATTTTATTTATATTTGGCAGATATTTATTCCCTGTACACATATGATGCGCAAAATATGAACAAACTTTGCATTTGTGGTTTAGGGTATGAATTATTCATGATTTTGCAAATTATAAATTCCCTGAGTCGCAAATTCGTAGCAACATAGTCCCAAAGAAGTGTCACTTTGTCACTACTTTGCAACTACATTTTTGGATCTTTCATTTTTTTTACAAAACTCTTATATTTCACATTTCAAATTGAAGATCCCTGGTAAAGAAGTGAGATATAATGAGTAAAACCAGAACAATATCATCAGTTTATAATATGTATCAAACATGGCTTATGTTTTGGTCTAACATTTGAAGATAAACCATTTGATTTGGTAATCAACTTATTGGAACATTCTACAAATATAAATAAAATGTCTATAAACTATTGATATTTAATTAATAATAATTGGATTTACACATATAATATGCAATAATGAAGTAGCATAACTTTTAGGGTTTAGGGTATGAATTAGTTAATATTTTGCAAACAAAATGTTATTGTAGTCGCAAATGAGAAGCACAGTCTGCGACTGAATAGCTTCGATTTTTGAACATTGATCGCAAAAATGTCACAATGGAGTGTCATTGTGCCACTAATTTGCGACTGCAATTTTTTCAATATTTCATTTTTACAAATCATAACGACCAATAACAACTCATATTTTGTAATACAATGCCAAATAAGGAGCTTAAAATTTGTATCAAACATGGTTTGTTTATTTGTCAAACATTTTAAGATCAACATAAGATTTCATTGTGAACATATTGAAAAACACAATAAATTTATGTTAAATATTATTTATATTTTATAAATAATGATTGGATTTACACATAAGATGAACAAAAATGAATTAACATGACATTTAGGGTTTAGAATATGAATTAGTCATTATTTTGCAATTAGAAAGTCCTTAGAGTCGCAAAAGCGTAGCAACATTAGCGACTGATTAGCGACATCATATTCTAACTCGGACACAAATTAGTCGCTAAATTTGCCGCTTAATTAGAGTCAATTTTTTCACCAAATATTTTGCATTTAGCGCCGAATATTTGACGAAATATTTTTTCTTTCCTTTTCTCGAAACGTCTTTCATCTCTCAAAATAATTTCTCCTTCTCACTTTCTCGAACCCAATCAGCCAAAATCGAAATCGAAATCTCACTTTCATCTTCTGAATCCCTCCATCTCTCAATTTATATTTTCTCAAACTCGAAATCGATTTCTCTTCGATGAGCGCCTCCGGTAAATCTCATCGTGGCCGCGGTGGTAAAAGCGGCGGGGTTCAATCATCTTCGGGAAGAAATTCGTCCCAATCCTCAAACCCTAGTACCCCAACCTCAACACGTCGCCCTCTCTCCCTGTTCAGTACGCTCACAGCCAGACTTCTTTTCCGGAGACACCACCCACGCATGCATCTAATCAACGGCCGCTGCCTTTTCGTCCAACGCCGCATCGTATTCCTCCATCGCAGGCTCCACCGCCACACGCTCCACCGCCACACGCGCCCCGCCACAGAACCCTTCAGTCGAGGATGTTAATGTCGATCCTCAACCACCGCCGCAAAATCAACCACCACAAGAACCACCAACGACGATGACGCTTGAAGACTTACTGAGAACTCCAGGCCGTGAAAATTACTTGCCTGTCTTAGACCCATTCCCCTCGGAAAAAACAACTTGGTAATCGCTCTTGAACCCTCTGTATTTTTTTGTTTCTTTCTTTGTGTTTAAGATATTTTTGTGGCCCTGATTATTCATCACAACTAAGTTTGTTGTATGAATCGTATTCTCCTTTTCTCACTCGCTTTGTGGTTTTGTTTTGGATTGTTGATCTGAGATTGACTAAAACTATGATCTTAATAAAATTGTAATCTAATCATTGTGGTATGATATTGACAACGAAAGTCAGAGCCTTTAAGAACTGAAATTGCTCTTCAAACTTTTTTTTCTTTCTTTGTGTTTAACATATTATTGCGGCCTGATTATTCATCACAACTATATTTGTTGTTTGAATCGTATTCTTTTTTCCTCACTCGGTTTGTGCTTTGTTTTGGGTTCTTGTTCTGAGATTGAGTAACGATGTTGTCATTGTGGTCTGATGTTGACAACGAGCCTTGAAGAACTGAAATTGCTCTTCAAATTTAAATGGCTCGATATATTGTTCAACTCTTAGTATATTTGACTATTGGTTTGACTAATATAATCAAAAGTCTCAACTTGTTTTGCTCTCGTTTTGTAGGTTTGATCGAGATGAAGGTAAATTGGTTCGGAAGATATCAAAGCTGTTGAAAAGCAAGTTCGACGGTGCTTATTATTGCTGGACTAAAACGCCTCAACATATTAAAGATCGATATTTCATAGCATTTGCAGTAAACTCAAATATGAAGTTATTAAGTTATGTATTATAAATTCCACATGTTAACAAAAACTTGAGAGGGTATGGCAAATTTCAGGTATGTTGTTGCTAAGACCATGTTAATGATATCTTTTGGTAATCAAAATTGATTGAAAGTTTCGTTTCAGCGGTTAGGATCTCAAAAACAAACTTTTGGGGGTGATGTGAAACAAGTAATGATATTTCTTTACTCTTTTTCTTTATCAAGTGTTTTTAATAGAAATACTGTATATGCACAACAAAATCGTTAAACTAAGTAATAAAACAATGGGAAGAAAAAATATTAAATACCAATTTTATTTTTTCAGATTATGATTTAACACAGTTCAGTTTGTAGAGATAGTGGTAGGAGTCTAATTAAAAAAGAAAGGCATATTTATTATCAAAACAAAGAAAAAACTAAACAAATTAAAAAAAATAATAATTGAATAGTATCCATACAATAGAAGAAGAAGACGACTGTGAATGAATGAATGTATAGTCAACAAAAAGTTGAAAGTCAGAGTCTCAAGAGACAGAGCAACAAAGACATGGGAGGAAACAAAAATAAAGTGTTTTAATGGGAGAAAGTGAATAATAAGTGAATGAAATCTTAAGCTTAGACTCTTGGATAGAACTTAACCTTCTCCTGAGAACTTCTCTGGAAACATTTGCATATACAATAGGAGCCAGTGTCAATGAACTTGAGCTTGATCTCCTCCATAGCAACTCTTGACGTCTGCTTCCCCAATGTCTGTCTCAGTGTCACCACCATGTTCTTTGGCCCAGCACAACATCCCTTGATCAGCAAATAGTCTTCTTTCACTACACCAAAGTTAGGAAACCCTCCCACTGGTGTGATCTCCTTCTCGGTTCTGCAAAACAAAACAAAAAACCAAATCAGGTTATGACCAAGTGTCTAGGTTAAATCACTTGGTCTTCTTGTTGTTTTACCTGTCAAACTCGGTCCTGGCCGAGTGATTTTCTTGGCCAGGTTTACCAATCCGGCAAACTTTCTTGTACATCGGACCAATGGGAGGTGGATGCCAAGCACCAATACAAGCCACCTTGCGTATTCCACAATGTGTTTTTCTTGGAACTCTAATGACACCCCATCTTGTAACCGCACCTTCATAATCATTGCCTTTGGTAACACGGGTTATATCAATGATCTCGTCTTTCGAGAAGGCTTCATCTACATGAACTTTCTTCTCAAAGAAACTGTAGGCATAGTCAACTTTCTTTGCTATATCTCCACCATTGATTTGAATCTCATCCATATGAGCCTTCTTCTTCTTTAGCCCTTTCATTTTCCCTATCTAAAGAATAAACGAATCAATCAAATGAAAGAAACAAAAAGTGGTTAAGCCTCAACAAGATTGAGCAAGATTTGAATACCTGAGTTTGAGCAAGAACTCTGATGACATCGCAGTATTTCTTCAACTCCTCTAGTTGGCTCTGAATGTCTTTTTTACCTTCGTCGGTTACGTGTTTCTTAATGTATTTGGTGAAATCCTTCTTCTTCGACTTCGCCCAGTTCTTGTAGAACCTCCTCCTTACTTCCTCGCTCAAATGCTGAGCCCACACAATGCTTAGAGTGCGAAGACCCCGGGGCGTCTTCACATACCCAACCATACCAACCACTACCATCGTAGGTGTCTCAAACACAGTCACAGCTTCGGATGTTTGCTTGCGGAGATCTGGCAGTTAGATATTCAAAGATGAGCACAAAAAACACACTCGAGAGTTATCTATGTATGTCACTGGAACCAATAAGAGAAAGTGAGAGAGGAGAGCCCACTTGGCAGATCTCTCTCAATGTGAGTCATCCCAGCTTTATATCCCAAGAAAGATGTGAATCTGCAAGGCTTAGTGGGATCCTCCTTAGGGAATGCCTTCACTGGTAACACAAACTAGACATGTGTGAGACACTTTTTAAGTGAAATAGAAAAGGAAACACTTTTTTTAATAATACATTATTTTGCATGATTCATCCATTGAGAAACTGCAAAAATTATGCAAGTAAGTATGCTTCTATTATCTAATTTATTTACAAGCAAATTGCTACCTTTGTCACGTTGTTTGTTGGCTATTTTGCTTGTAAGGAAACCAAAAGAACGATGTCTTGGATGCTCAAACTTTCTGTGAGACATAATCTTATATATCAAATATAACCTGCAAAAAATGGTTTTCCAGAAAATAGAGCCGCTTAGAGATTCCAGCCTTTATTTTAGTTTAGTTTACGATCGGGTTATCACTTCAAAATCATAACCAGAAAGACCAGATAATACTAATGTGCAGCCGCAACAGATCAAGAGAACAAGAAAACGATTTATAAAATATCATTCACAGCAAATCGAGTTTCAATAGGTAGATACGAAATAGATGGCAAAAAGCAATGAGATGAGAGACAAAATAAAGATACTCCAGAGGATATGTTATATAACAAAGCCCATATCAAGAAGAAAAAAAATCTCGTGTACCTTATGTTAGAGAGGAGAAGAAAGAAAGCGAGTTGTGATTAAGGAGAGGGTAAGCTAGATTACTATATCCGCCAAGATTAGGGTTTTGATATTTTTTTATGAATACTAGAAATTTGACCCGCTTGATGTGCGGGATCAATAATATACCAAAATATAAACTTTATAAATTTAATTCAACTATAAGTATTTTTATATACTTTTAGAATTTTTTAAAAATACCAATGATTTACAATATTTTTTCGTATAATGATTTTAGTTCTATTTTCTTTTATATTGGGTCTTATCCCCACAATTACCTGATCCTAAATTTTATAATTATACTTTGAATATTATTTTCTTATACATGAACTATATTTAGTCGATCCTTACCTAGTTCTATCATTTATACGTAATGTTCTAACATATTTCTATATATAAGCAAATGAATAAAATTTTATACAAATAGGTAAATAGATTTCATGAATCTAATATATTATTTGCGAAGTGAAAATTTCGTTTTGAGGCACCACATTAACTTCTCAGCTGGTTGATTACCCAGCTACCCTTAATGAAAATCTATTATTAAATCTTCATAATTCTTTTTTTATTAATTATTGTTTTATTGTATAAGGCCAAAAAAATATAGAAAATCTTGACGATATCTTCAAAATTTCCTTTTTTATTAATTATTCGTTTTTGTATTATGGAAAAAATACATTATTTTTATCTTATAAAAAGAATAAAATTATAATTATTTTTATAAAAAGAGAAAACCCTAGATTTTAGAAATCTATATACAAAGCTAGAAGTTGTCCATCTCAAAGTCGGGTCTTCGTGTTCTTCATCTTTATGTTTTAGGTAGATTGTTCGTGTTAATTATCTTGGAAATCATAACATATAAATCATCGTAGACCATAGACTCGGTAAATCTCTCTCTGTATATCGTAGCTCAGAATTCAATTTTCTGCTAGACGTAAAGTGGTTGAAGTAAAGCCTTACCCTTGATATAGGAAAAAAAAGCTTACTGCACAAGTAAAGAATAAGAATAAAAGGCTACAGCTCCTGATTTCAAGAGTTTTGAGTTAATATAATGGTTTAGATGTTAAGCTGCTTTGGGATTTGACTATGGTCGTGTTCTTTTCAAAGTCGCCAGCGGCTACGACATGCGATGGAGAAAATAGCCTATGAGGGAAAGAAAATAACACTGAACTGTCGCTCGAGATGAACGCGGGTGCTGTCCATGACGTCTTTTTTAGTCGCTGGAATTTATGGGCGACAGTTCTCATGTCTTGCGATTGGCTCGACTCCGCTCATGACGCAACATGCCTCCGCCACCACCGAATAATTTCGTAATCATGACTATTTTCTCAGTCGCAGTCGCAGGTGCAGCGACTTTGAAAAGAACACGACCTATGGAGTAATCTTCCTTTGCTGAATTAGTTGTTGGTAAAATTTCTTACTCAAGTTTTTAGGTTTACTTTTCACATAACACACAAGGTATTGAACTGGATTGGCTTCTGAGTACAATTCTTTCGCTAATTGTTGTTTAGATCTCTTCATCCAACACTGCAGGTATGGATGATGAAGAAGACGGATCTGCCTCTATCCATCACATGCTTGACGATAAGCATAGAGTTGCATTTTTCAAGAGTTAGCTTGCCAATATCGCTGAGGCTTTCAAGTGAGCCAACGTTTTTTTCTTCTTCATTCATATGCTTGCAAGCAACAAAACTTAGGAAACAGAGACATCATACTGAGAGAGTGATTTGTTAATGATGAAAACTGAAACACAGACGAAGTGGATATAAATGTATACTGTGTGGTCGTTGCTGGACAACTTTGAGCCCATCATGAAATTTCTGAAAGGTCATGAAGTCAACAAAGGTAAAAAGGTATGAAAAAGCTGGAAACCAAAGCTAGCTAAATACTTGATTAACATAAATTGCGGTCGTTATAACTTTGTATCAAACAACTAAATTAGTGGATAATGATGGCATAGAGCCATAACAAACAGAACTACTTGGGCTGCTCTTTGGTTTCAAAACTCATATTCTGAATTAAGCTTTTTTCTTTTTCGTTTTACCCAACAATTTATGTGTTTCTCTCTTCTTTTCCTATTTTTTTTTTACTATACGTGAAGATTAGTGTTCTACCAGATGTTCAGCTTATGCAACTGGAGGAATGTCCCCATGATTATTTAAGAATAAAAGTTTGCAGCTCATGAATAATTCATGTGCATTATAATACAATTATGTTGATGCAAGTGCATGCCACATTGTTATTGTCAAAACAAAGGTTAGAAGAAAAAAAAAAAAGATGCACCGGTTAAACGTCATATGGGCAATCAGAGAAGGTTCGATCGCCTTATTTTGATCTTGGTTTGTGGTGAATCTGTAACATCCCGGTTTGTGATAAATGAAGAGAGGCTTAAGAGAATTGATTTGGCTACCTATGTCAACAAAGTGCACTTACCTTTTCGGTCAAAGGTCTATAAGTAACTCCAGTTAAGCGTGCTTGGGCTGGAGTAGTTGAAGGATGGGTGACCTCTCGGGAAGTGGTTTCCGAAAACCGTGTGAGTGAGGCCAAAACACGGGAAAAGGTCGGGTGTTGATTGCCAGGGATAGTAAACAAGTCATTAGAGCCTCTCAAAAATAACGGACCGGCCGTCGGACAGGGGTGAGGCCCATGGGCCGAGATGGGCCTGCGGGCCCAGAGAGAGGGCGTGGGTGACTCACCGGGAGGGGCGGTCGGGGCGTTATAGAATCACTGAATCTTCTTTTACTAAAGTTCATTAGAGCCTCTCAAAAATAACGGACCGGCCGTCGGACAGGGGTGAGGCCCATGGGCCGAGATGGGCCTGCGGGCCCAGAGAGAGGGCGTGGGTGACTCACCGGGAGGGGCGGTCGGGGCGTTATAGAATCACTGAATCTTCTTTTACTAAAGTTGTATACATATTGCTATTTGAATGTTTACTGTACTGTTAATTATATATGCATCTTGATAGAATCATTAACGTTAGTGATTAAGCCAAAGCGCAAGTCAAAGTTCATGGCTCTAATGGTTCCATACTTTACTTATAGAGATCATTATTTTTAATTCAATATTCAATAATTTTTAGTTTTCCCTGTAACCACTTCTTAACAGTGTTCATCTTCATTCCAATCGACTGATGAGAAAAATTGTTTTGTATACATCAAGTGATGAGATCAAATTCTCCATTGGAGCAACCAAAGGCAACCTCTTAGCATATACTATTATTTGATGAACGTTTTACTAACATGTGAGTTGATGGACGTGAAAGTGGGGACTTAATTGTAATTCAAACTAAGATGGTCTCGCGGTTGTATATATCTCTTAAGTTAGAGAGCCGGTGTGAGTCGAAACAAATCTTTATTCGGGTTTGGGTATATCGGGTCCAAGTCTAAAAAACCAAATTATACTCGATATTTTCCTATTATGATTCAGGTTTTGATATCCTGATTATTATCACCCGAAAATCCAAAAATATACCCAAAATCTCCGAAAAATACCCAAAAACCCGAAAAATATCCATTAACCCAATTTTGTTTTACAAAAGAATAAATATAAATACTGGAAATGTATCCGAAATCCCAAAGAAAATCTGAAAAACCGAAAAATTAATTCATATAATATCAAAAATAATTCACAATACTCATACTTCAAATCAAGTATCGATTCCGTTCGGGTATTATTTGATATTCATGAGTATTAAAATCTTTTATCCAATGGGAGATTTGATTTATACCCGAAACCAATCGGATATAGAAATTTAGAGTTGGCACAATTCAGATTTTTGGGTATCGGTTAAAAGTTAAAAGTCCGAGGCCTACAAGCAACAAGTAAGGAGTCTTAGTGTAAGCTAAGTTTGGGCATAATGGAAATCCTTAAAGAATAGCATTATGATACTTCTAAGCTAAGTTAATGGTATAACGAATATATGGTTTGGAAAAAATAATTCTCTCAACACTATTTCTGAATTGCCGTTTGAAAAAAAGGCATATATGTTAGCTCTAGAATGAGCCCCACCCAAAAACTTGCATAGTATGAAGATAATGTTTTGGTGCAAGAAGTAAAATAACATGTAAATTACTACTTTGCAAGAGGAGATTGTGGACCAAATAGATGTCGAAAAGTCTTCGACTGTATTAAAGAAGCTTGGTTTTACCCTAATTAGAAATTTATAACTCATATTAAACCGCACTGAAGATTTTAGGTTAATGTAAGTCATATATCATTACAAAGAGGTTCAACATAATTTTTTTGTAGGAGGTAATACACACGAAATCAAGAAACTATAACAATAATGTAGGTGCTTCATATGTCATGTTTAGCAACCATTGGGTAACTTACTCAAAGCAAATCTAGAGAACGGGAGATCCACTAAATACCAATGAACAAAGAGATAAGAGAAAGAACCACAAAACAACTACTTCTTTTAAGAAAATCTTGAATCATTTTGTAAGGTGGGGTTAGGATGTACGGTTTAGGAGGGGGGGGGAGGATAATGTGGGTTAGGATGTATGGTTTAGAGGGGGGAGTTATGTTGGGTTAGGGTTTAGGGTGTAGGGTTTATACTGTTAGATGTAGGGTTTAGTTTTTCATGCATTTTTCAAATTTTGAATACACTAACATTGCTGATTTAAAACAAAAACAACTAAAACAATAAAAGTAAATCCAGAACCAGTTTGTAATGTGAGGTTAGGGTGTAACAGCAGTGGTTGATATATTGATAAATCTAACAGACTGAGTTCTTGGAGATTCTTGAGCTTCCCTACAGTCAAAGGTATTTCACCAATGAATCTGTTTGAGCTTAAATCTATGAATCTAAGTTCAGGGCAATCTTCGATATCGGAAGAGATAGTTCGAGTGGTGTTGGAGATAACGAGTTTCTAAAGTGAGCTAAACGAAGAGATGTTAAAAGGGAAAGGTAAAGCCATCTGAACAGAGACGACATTGGTCATTGTAACAAGTTTGTATGAGGAGGAACACCTGATGTAAGGCCATCCCACTGGGTCGGAGTTAGAGGGATTCCAGCCGGAGAATGTTGTGGGGTGGCGAACTGGAGCTGTGAAGCCAAGAAATCAAAGCAGCCACTGAGGAAAGAAAGAAGGTAATAAAAAAAACTAGAAACAGTTAAGGCTTTCTTGGAATCGGCAACTACAAGACTAGATGAAGGAGTATGCATAGAGTGGGTTGTAGTGGCAGAGTTTGAGGGACTCTAAATAGAAATCCATCTACTTATGGTTAATGATTAGTGGTGGTATATGTCAAGATCCATTATGTCTCTAATTATGGTTAATGATCCCAAGAAACAGAATCTAAGATAAAAAAAAAAGGAAGAATAAGAACACAAAGCTAATTGAAAAACAAATTGTAAATAAAAAGAAGAAAACGAATAAAAAGATGGTCTACGCCAATTAGCAATACCTCACCTACTGCACGCCAACCTCCAATTTTGGTCCTGATTTCGAAATCTTGAATTATACTTGTGAATAAGTAGAAATCAGAAACAAAAATGAGAGAAAGAAGTCGATTGATATCTAACTTGAATTCACCATATCTTAAATTCAACTTCACATCTTTGATAAAAGAACAAATTGCAGCATATATGGGAGAAATGGTATCAAACAGTAGAATACAAACACATGGAGATATTTGATTATTAGAGTCATAATTTAAAAACTCACAGACGAACTCACACAGAGAATTAAACAGAAGCACAAACAAATGGAGATATGCGATTACTACAATGATAATTTAAAAACTCCTAAAGGTTCAATAGATAGATATAAAGGAATCTGATCAAATTCCTTAGACGTTGCACTGGTTCTCAAGAGAGTTTGCCAAAGCTTCTTTTTCCCTTTCCTCCCTCAACTCCCTGTACCTTCCCTCCCTACGCTCCTTAAAGAATGTAACCGCACTACCACCGGCTCTGCAATGACTTCTCATTCTATCTATTGTTGGCTTGCAGTGCAATTCATACAGTGATTCCAGCCTCGCCCTGTAGATATCGATAATGTTCTTCAAACGCTCAGGATGGCCTCTCACAAAATCTCCGTTCGCAAATTCCCATTCATGTTCAGACTGCTCCACTTTATTGAGGCCCTGCGTCAAAGAGAGTTTGAGTTAAAAATTCAATCAACCAATAAATGATTAATGTATGTATGTTCCAGACTTACATATCCGGTAAGTTTTAGGGTAAAATACTGGAAGTTGGTGTAGGATGCGGGTGGGCAAAGCCTGAAAATAAGGTTCCTAGCGAATTCTTCCGGATCCAAAACTATGATGCTGTTGCCGTTTTGGCCCCACGAGATAACAGAATCCGTCGAAGGATCATCAACCATCTGGTATGTTTTGTTCAGGAATTCAAGCGGTGCTAAGTTCCTTCTAGCGGAGCCACGAGCACGAGCACGAGCCATGTCTACTTGAACAAGAACAAAGGTGATTTAACCACCGGAAAATACAGAAAATAACACCTATGTGCATAAAAAATTGAACAGATCTACAACAACTACCGGGCACAAAAATTGAACAGATCTATAAGAAATTGATCAGATCTAGTATTAAGTCCATAAACCTAAGATAAAAACAGGGTAGAATGAAAAGGAATCTATTATAAAAACAAGGATAAAGTTTACCTTCGATCGGAGAAGTCACTCTTAAATCGCTGCAATTTCTCTCTTCTATTCTCTCGCCTCTTTCTTTTTCTGGTGATGAAAGTCTCGAAAAATAGACACGCATGTACCGAGAAACGACCTTCTTATTGGGCTTGGGCCGGACCAATACCGAGACTTAGATTTTTGAACTAATAATGATCTAACCGGTAGAAGACCAGTGAACCATTGTTTAATAATGCGCTGACATGACATAGATGTTGTTTTACTAAAATACACGGTGACGGTGTGACATTGTGGTTTTGTATAGAAAATTTAAATCTTAAAATTAAATCTGACCAAAAAACCCTAATAAATTTTTTTAAAAACACAAACTTTTTCAATATATCTAAACTCAAAAATCCGAAATGAAAAAAATCTCGAAAACCTTGAACTAAACAAAAAAAATCTGGAAACTTTTTTCACCCGGAACCCAACCCAAATACCCTAATCAAAATTTTAAAATACTCAAACTTTTCTAATATATCTAAACCCGAAATCCAAAAAATCCGGAAAACTGAAAAAAAAACTTTAACCCAACCCGAACAGAAATTTTCAAAGAAACCCGAACAATTTCTATATCTCTATATCTCTATAAATTTAGGTCTCAGATTTTCACCCAAACCCGAACTTGTCTATAAAAACCCGAAAATTCAAAAAGCATACTCTATTAATTTGATATTATCGTTAGATTATGTTAAGTTCTTTTTTTTTTTGCAGATTTGTAAAAGCTGGAAAACATAAGTTATCTAAACCATCGGTTTGTTTTAAGTTATTATTATTGTATCAAAACAATTTTTTCCATTTATCTTCTATTCAAATAGCTTTTTCTCTTATTCTTGTATGTTGCATGGAAACGGAAACGGAAACGAAAACATGGATGCAAAACATTTCGAAAACGGGAAACGTCTATTTTGAAAAATACAAGACTGGAAACGTTTTGGAAACACATATATAATAGGGTGAATTGGTTTAATAGTACTAAAAATTTTCATAATTTGAAAACTAACCCAGGTTTATAAAATTTTGAAAACTAACCTTTTTAATAAGTGAAAAGACAATAAAACCATGATCATTTTCCTATTAATAATGAGAAAAAAACTTATTCAAAATCCTATTAATTTAAAAAATATATATATATATATATATATATAAGATATTTTCGAAAATTTGTTTAGATATTTTTTAATAAATATTTAAAAATACACATGTTATTTTGAAAATATATTCATATTTATCATAAATATGAATCAAACTCTATAAATATATACACATAAATATCATTTTAGTACAAAGAAAAACTCACACTTCATTCTTAAAAAAATATGATGAAATGTGTTAAAGTTAAGTCATATTCTATATTTATGAGATGTTAAATTTCATATAAGATCTTTTTGTTTTCTTGTTGTAAATTTTATTCAGATTTTTGGAAATATCCCACACTAAAGTTTTTTTTCTTCTCTTTTTCTTTTGTTATATAAAATAAAAAATAATTGTTTATAATTATCTTTAGAATAACAGAATTTTTTTTTATAATTTAAATAATTTTTAAATAAGATAAACGAATTTTAAAACAATTTTAATATCTAAAAAATGAGGGTATTTTAGTAATTTTGAATATTAGAAAGATTAGTTTACCAACACTTTTAAAAATGGGTTAGTTTTCAAAATATGATTAATTTATGTAATATTGGTCCATTTTAAAGTTTGTTAATATTATCTTATAAATTATACAAATAATTAATTTATGTAATATTATAAATATATATATATATATCTATATATATATGTGGTTATTTTAAAGTTTGTTAATATTTTATTATATAAAGCTGGATGCGCACGATGTGGTTGCGACACGTAGGATTTTTATAAAATTTAGGATCGCGACATGTGTCACTTTTAAGTTTATGTCCGTTAAGATCGTGACATGTGTCTTAGGAAAAAAGAAGAACTTAAAAAAAAAATTCCAGAAAAATGTTAATTAAAAAAAAACGAAATTTAATTTAATTATTATATCAAAAAGGAAAAAATAATATTTGCCAAATCCAAACAGAAAAAGGTTTCCCATTCATCAATTTTTTTTATTATATAAAGTTGGATGCGCACGACGTGGTTGCGACACATAGGATTTTTATAATTTATAAGATCACGACATGTGTCACTTTTAATGTTACGTCCGTTAAGATCGTGACACATGTCTTAGAAAAAAAATAATAAAAAAAAAATTAGATAAAGGAATTTTTTTATAAAAAATTAATCCATTACAGTTAAAAGAAATAAAAATATATTTGTCATATCCTAATAGAGAAAGGTTTCTCATTCATCAAATTAATATTATCCAAACAAATAATAAAATCAAAATAATGTAATAAATAAAATCCTATTTGTATATGGAATATATTATGTAAACTAAATTTCCTATAACTGCATGTAATAGGTTACTTGAACCCTATAAAAGAGAGTCAAGGTTTCTCAATCATAAATTCATCAAAACAAATTCATCAAATCCTTTGATTCTATTTCTCCAATTTAAAAATCATGTTTTTGAAAGTTTTACGATACATGGGATTTTTATAACTGACAAAATTTGACATGTGTTTTCAAAAAAAACATTTCTGGAAGTATGAAGATCGTAACATGTGTCATGGAATAAAAATAATAAAAAAAATTAATATGTATAAGACTAACTAAAAATTAGAAAAACATATAACATTAAAAGTAATAAAAAAAACAGGAAACAAATAATTTAAATTCTTTTGTTACATCTATTAAGAAAAGGAAAAAAAATCCATTTTGAAAAGGAAAAATACCAATATATAGTATTTATAATGGTTGAGGCAAAAACAAAATTGAGAAAGAAAAAATATAAATAGAAAACTAACAAAATAATTATCAAGCAATTAACTAATATTAAAAAATTATAATTGATATTATAATTTTAAATAGTTTGATTTTCAATTTTTGTTGGGTAAATTGCACTATCGCCACCCGCACAAGTTCGTGGGGCTCCTCCAACTCTGGTTCCACATCTATCAGCCTCCCTAGGCTTAGTTTTTTCTTTTTACGTTCCACACTTTTTTCCTTTTTTTTATTCTTCTACACTGAAAGTGGTCACCCATTAAACACTCTCTTGTAAATATACACTCCAGTTTTGATCTATAAATTTGAAATTTCATCAAAAAAAAAAAATTTGAAATAAAGATTTTATTGTTATGGGTAATATGTGGATGCCCATTAGCCCATTAGGCCCACTACACTTGTATCCTAGCTTTGTATTCTATATAAGAGCTCATCTACTCATGAATAACATCATTCCATTCTCTCATTTCACAACACATTATCAGCACGAAAGTTCTACCTCTTAGCTTTTCTAGGTAATCACAAAAGTTCTAATAGTTCTTATAGTTTGAATTCACAAGTTCAGTGAGTAATCTCCATTACTTTGTTGATTTGTGTTTCTTCTACTAAAATCCATTTCTATCAATACTTAATTTATATTTCTTATTGATAATATTTTAGATTCAACAAACTCATGCTTTATATGTATTTATTGTATTTTCGTAATATATTTATTCAATTGCCAGAATAATTTTTTTTCCTTCTTTTCTGGTTTAAATTATATCCCTGAAGGATTAATATTAAAAAAAAAAATTATATATATCCCTGAAGAATTTATATATTATTTTTCCTTGAAGGAATTATATATTTCAATTATATATATTCCTGAAGGTTTTATATATTATTTTTCCTTGAAAGAATTATATATGTCAATTATATACATCCCTGAAGGATTTGTATTTTATTTTTATCCCTGTAAGGATTCATATTTTTGTTTTATTTATATTTCATGTTTATGTTTATTTATTTTATTTATATTCCTGAAGGATTTATATTTGGTTTCTATTTTTATTTATCCTTGAAGGATTTATATTTTATTTATTTTATATATATCCCTGCAGGATTTATAACTTATTTATATCCCAGAAGAATTTTATATTGTTTATTTTATCTGCATTTATATAATTGTTCTTATTTATTTTATTTGCTTTTCTTATGATATTTGTTATTTTAATTTTATTTTCGTAATAATTAAAATTGCTAAATTGAATAATTATTTGAAAATTGTCTAAAGCAGAAGTTTTCATTGTCTGAATTAATTTCACCATTAAATTGAAATATTATTGCAATATTTGACCATATTAAATTGTTAATTTGACCATTTGATCACAATTTTGATTATAATTAATGTTGTGAATTACACTATGAGGGACTTTTATGACTTACATAACACTAAAAGGGACTTTTTGAATGTAGGTGACTTATCTCTGACTCATTGGACATGTTTTTACAAGTATAGCCTCAATAAAGACTTGGGTTAATTAGTTACCAGTTACCACACCCTGTTTTTGTTTTTACAAGTATCGTGGGTTTGTGTTTGTGGTTGGACGGAAATCATCTAGGTATCTGATGTGGCGGTGGATGTTTTTTTTCAAGTTTTTTTTTTTTTTGTTTTAGTGTTATGGTTTTCGCAAGCTGTGTTTGAAGAAAGAATGATAAGGTCTAATTTACATTTGGTTTCTCTTCCATATCTTGACTGAAACTTGTAGAGTTCCTTCTCTCTTGACTTGAATATGTCTTCTTCCTTCCAGAATTTGAGAACTGGGAATAATTTTTCATTAAAGATGACAACTTTCACTATCTGTTCTTCATCCAACGAACTGTTCATAGGTATTTTGAAATTATGTGAAAGAGAAAACAATTCAAAACCTAAATAAGATCAAATCCAAGAAGCAAAAAGAGAAAAGTAACAGAAATTGTAAAACCCAAGTACGAACTTTGAGCCGATGACACGGTGGCGCTTTCTTCGTCCTTCACAAGCAGCTGATGAAGGGATAAGACAACAACTAAAATAGCATCCACAACGAAAGCTTCCAAGTAAACACATAAAAGCATCCAAGCACACATAAAAGCATCCAAATATGTGATATAAAACAACAAAGAAAACATGGAAGCAAATATAATGTCAAAAGTAAAAATAGAGTAGCAGTGTATATATTCAGCACAATAAATCCAAGTAAAAGCATCCAC